ATCTGATTTTGTTCTTAATTATTATAGCCACAGCTAAATTTGTGCTGATGTTGTACCTTCCCCACTTTAATCCTTCTAATGAGCTGACAAAGGACTACTGCCAATCACTGCCAGTCACTCTGCACAACAGTAGTTTCAGTCTTGTGTTTTTAGATACTATCCTGAATAATAACTCAGTCTAACTTAAAGAATTCAAAAGTAAAGTCTAACTTGCTATTGAATCATGCTTTTAAAAGGATCTGAACTCACAGATCAACTATAAAATGTGAGAAATGGTAAATATTCTTGATTTGGTATTACACATCCACTACTCTGAAATGCCTTTCAGTCAGTAAAAGGTAGCACTTTTTAGATTCAGGAAATTCTGATTAAATTGGCATAGTTAAGACCAAAAATATAGACATTACTTCCTTGTCTGCAGCCACTGTTTAACAGGCCAGTAAATACACATTGAAACAGGGGAGTCTTGCTTGATTCTGAGACAGTGCAGGATTCCCCACTACTTAAACATACTCATGCAGCCAGTTATATAAATCTAAATACAGAAACACTGTTTGATAGATTTTGAGATGATAGTCTCCATTTTTGTGAAAAGCCAATCATTACTAATCAAGGCCAACCATATATTTAGAAATATGACAGTATTTATTGAACTAGAATTACTATCAAAACTTGAAAAAAAAGATAACCATTTAACTGCAGGCCAATTTTACTGAAATCAAGAATGTCTAACAAAAATATTCTATCAGCTGTTAATGATCTGAATTCTAGCAAAAGAGATATGTTAAATTATGGTGTGCATAAAAAAGCCTTGAGACATTTCTGTTCCATAATAAATAAGGCAGTGACTTACTCATTAGTAGCTTTTCTGAGGTAAGCTATTAAATGTGCCCTTTCTCCCTTCTTCTTAAATGCCAGGGAAGAGCATTTTTTTTCGAGGGATGTGCTTCTTGGGATTCTCCAAGGCCGCCATCAGTGTGCCCTCTCCCCAGGTAATGCCTTTTCCTTGTTGGCATCTGTGTAAGAATCCAACAGCCTGACTTGTCTCCCACTCAGACAGACCCTGGAGATACGGCCCAGTTTTTCGATTGCTTCCTTTCTCCAGTGTGGCATTGAGGACATATCTGTATAAAAATCTTCTGCCTTTCCAGCATCATTCATTTTTAAATCAGTCTTTCATCATTACCACAAGGAAGATTCCTTTTCAGAAGCCAGATGTCCTGTGCTCTAGCCCAAGGACACACTGGTGCATGGCTAAGTGCTGGCGTTGGTTTAAGCACACTTGCTCACCCTTTTTCTCTTCTTCATTTGAGGTACATGTGATGTTATCCCATAAGTCTCTAAGCCATCTTTACTCTTCCTGCGTTTTTTGAGACAGGGTCTCACTCTGTTGTTAAGGCTGGCCTTGAACCACTAAGTAGCTTAGGCTGGCCTCAAACTTATGGCAATCTTCTTGCCTTAGCTTCCTCAGTGCTGGGATGATAGGTGTGCACACCTGACCTCCTCCTTTTTCAAATCCATTTTTCTTTCCTTTTGCCTGGTCAGGTCTGCTTTTCAGTTTCTCTTGAGTTTAATTTTAGTTATTTTATTTTTTGGTTCTAAAATTTCTTTGTAGTTTTTCCTCATAGTTTCTGTGTTCATTGTTTTTCTGATTTCCTAAAGTTGAATTTGTTTGCTGTCTTAAATCATTCAGTAATGAATGATTGAATCTCTCATTTTCAGTTCTTTGGTGGTTTATACATCTGAATTTCCAGGCTGGCCTTGAACTCACAATCTTCTGCTTCCTGACTGCTGGAATTACAGATGTGTGCCATCATCCCTTGCCTATGTCTGATTCTTTAGTGTTGTTTTGTGACTGTTTAGTTTTCTGATTTGAATGATCACATCACATTTGTTTTTTTCTCTTTGTGCAGCTTGTTTTCTTTCTTTCTTTCATTTAGCTTTTTTTTGCAGCAATTTGAAACCAGGGCTAGAATGTGGCTCAGTGGTAAATGACCTGCCTAGCACGTTCAAGGCCTTGGGCTCTGTCCCCAGTGTCACCAAAGTAAAGCGAGCAGGTAAGCAGGTTTGGTGCTGCATGTCCGTAAAGCACAGAAAATCAGCTGCCTCGCCCAGTTCTGGATGTTTGGCTTCCTTTAGGGAGGCTTTCCATTCCTTCCTGCTAGAGATTCTGGAGAGTTCTCAGGCCTCTGCCGGGATTTGACTTTTCTGACATTTTGCTTATAATTTCTAACTGAAGACCCCTGCCAGTTTCTACTCAGCTCTCCCACTTTCTTTCTGCAGCCACAGGAGTTTAGGATGTGGATTTGAGCCTAGATTGTGCCTTTGTTGCTGCAGACACTGGTTTCTATCAGTTGCCTTTGCGTCTGTGCCCTGTCCTGCCTGATGCCCTTGCCTGTTCATGCAGTTCAGTGTTCCTTCTCTAAAGAGTCATGATGTTAGATGAGGTTCTCATACTGTGCTTTCCTGCCTTAACAGATTGGGAGTAGACTGTCCTCTCTCAGAGAAGGGGTTCTGGCAAGGAGGTGCCACAAGTTGACCCTTCAGGCTTGCATTAAGAATTGCACTGTCATTTACAAATGGGGAGGGATTGTCTCAGTTACTTTTCTAGTTAAGTTTAAGGAGAAAAGTTTTATTTCAGCTCACAGTTTGTAGAGGTTTCAGTCCATAATGGCTGGCTCCAAGGCAGGGTGTCATGGTAGAGGGGCATTGCAGAGGAGGACCAGTGCATGGTGTGGCAGGGCAGGGCAGATGGAAGGCAGCAAGCAGCAAGCTTACCTCTGCCTTTCACTCCTTCCAGGCTACTGGTCTTTGGGGTGGTGCCACTCACACCCAGGGTGGGCCTTCCCATTATCCACACCCAGAGCTGTGTTAAACAAACCGTGGAGTAATTTAGTAACCATATACTCACTATCACAGCCATATTCCTGGCATCACACACTCTAGATATACACCTCTAAAAAGCCCCACCTATGACTGCATGAGATTTTATAGATACAGTACAAGAGGGTGGGAGGAGAGTGGAGGGGAAGGGGACACACAGAAATTTAAATGTGTCATGTACCTGTACCAGCTGCTCACAATGAAGGTAACTGCTCTGCTTTTGCAAATATGAAAAATTGGTGATGAAAATTATATCATTGAGAGACACCATCTCTTGTTTCACAACATAAATAAGTGTGTGTATGTGATTATGTCACATATACAGTAATTTTTGTTCCTGAGACAGTATCTTGCTTTGTAGTTCAAGCTGGCCTTGAATTCATTATGTGGCCCAAGCTGGCCTCAAACACATGGCTATCCTCCTGCCTCAGCCTCTTGAGTGCTGCAATTATATGCGTATGCCACCATGACTGGCTCATCTGTGCATTTTTAATGTGATACTGGGACTGAACCTAGGGCCTCTACTCCAACTTTTATTCCCAGTCCTTTTTTTATTTTTATTTTTTATTTTGAAACAAGGACTAAGTCATTCAGTTACCCAGGCTGAACTTGAATTTGCAGTCCCCCATGGTAGGTTTTGTTTGTTGTCTTCATTTGTTACGTGTTCAGGTCTTCCTGTGCACTCCAAGCTGGACTCACACTGACAGATACCAGGATTATGATATGTGCCATGGTGCCACACCAGCATGTGATATTTTGTTTTGTTTTTTTGGTACCAGAAATTGAATTTAGGACCTTGTGTTTGCCAGGCTGTGCTGCTGAGCTGTATCCCTTGCCCATGTTTTTTTTTTTTTTTTTAATAAAGAACAGCTTGCATGTTTTTTTTTTAGTTAAAATTTTATCTGCAATTAAATTTTCTGTTAAAATGTTCTGCAGCCTTAAATTGCTGTGCACTGTCATGTTAATATGTTAATGAGTTGACACTACTATATTAAGAATACCGCATATCCAATGTGTGCATGTGTGGCTGTATAATGACCTTGTGAGAAGCTCTGTATTGTCCTTGAACTTCCTAAGCTTTCCTCCCTTAAGTCATCTGTGGTTTATTTTCTTCGGATGTGCTGTTGCCTCACTGATTCTTAAGGTTCTGTTTCAGTCTCAGACACCTGGGGGCAGGTACTTCCTCTCCCAATCTGAATTCCTTTACCTGAGCAGAAACCACTTGGTGTCTGTGACAGCTCGTCCTCAGGTGTGGACCTGTACCTGTCTTTCTCTCTTAGATGTCATGTCACTGCAGCAGCTAGTATAGAGCAGGCGAAATGCTCAGCACTTGGAAGTGTTCCCAAGCTTTAGCTATTCTGTTGCTATCATCATGGTTTTTAGATTCTGAATTTTTTAAAAATCCCCTATGGGCCCTCATCTTTAAAGTCGCCACACATGCTATTGAGTGTGTATTACTTGGTGGGTTAAACATTATGTCTAACAGTGCTATAGAGATAAATTTATTTGTATGATTATTTGTATATATTTTTTCTCTTCCTTTCTATATCTCTGTCTCTGTCTGTCTCTCTCTGTCTCTCTGTCTCTCTCTGTCTCTGTCTTTCTCTGTCTCTCTCTCTCTCTCTCTCTCTCTCTCTCTCTCTCTGTCTCTCTCTCTCTGCTTCTACTGGGGATCCAATGCAGGGCCTTTGCACTGAGCTACATCTGCAACACTTTTTGTACTTTATTTTGAAATAGGATCTTGTTAAATGACTGCATTACCTAAACTGGATTCAAACTTGCAATTCTTCCTTACCCTCCCAGAGTCCTGGGATTATAAGTGTGTGCCATCCCATCTGGCTCTGTCATAGTCTTTCTGGTGACTAGTCCCCTTCCTGAAACTGCACAGGGGTCTCTTGCCAACTGACATCTTGTTAGCATATAAAAGCACCTAGTGATTCCAAGTGAACTATGCATCTGGAAACATTCACAGATACCAGATGTGTATTTCATAATATTGAAGCATGGATTTAGCTCACTCTCTCCAATTAAATCTCTTTACAGCTCTGTTCTTTTTTACTTTATGTCATAATCGTAACTATCCATGTGGCGCCCAGTGACATCCCTTTTCATTGCAGGAATGCTTAACATTCAGGGATGTGGCCATAGAATTCTCTCCAGAGGAATGGAAATGCCTGAATGCTGCTCAGAGGACTCTATATAGGGAGGTGATGCTGGAGAACTACAGGACCCTGGTCTCCCTAGGTAAGGATGACTCTACCAGAAATTGGGTCTGCCTTCTGTATAGTTTCCCTGTTCGTACTTCTAGCTGAACCTGAAGTTTTATTGATGCAGAATTGAAACGCTTTCCAGGGTACCCTCTGCACTTTAGCCATCTCCTTTCTTTAGATTTTCTGCCTCCTTTTGATGCATCATTGGGTGGCTGTAGAACTAAGTATTCATCCAGTCTTATGGCTGATATTATTTTCCTTTCTTAACAGTGCTGGGGCTCAAACTTGGGCTTGTATATACTAGGCCAGTGCATTAACACTGAGTCACATCCTCAGCTCTTACAGCAGACTGAAAATACCTAGTTCTTTTTTTTTTCTTTCCCTGTTCATTTGATTGAGTAGTTCTTGGGAAACAACTGGATGTTTGCATGTTAAAGCATTTCCCAAGCCTAAAGGAATAAACCAATGGGTGATTTTGTGCAGTGTTTTGTAGATCCATCTAGAATATTTTCTGTCTTCACATGAACATAGCACTGGATTCTAGAAAAGCCACAGAATACTGTTTTCCTTTCTTTTTATAAACAGGAATCTTTCTTCCTAACGTGAGTGTTATTTCTATATTGGAGCAAGGGAAAGAGCCATGGACTGTGGAGAATGAAATGAAAATAGCAAGAAACTCAAGTAGGTGGGAATGCTGTAAAGGACTGAATACAGGTAAGACAACATGGACAGAGGAGCTGCGGAATGCCATTGGTCACGGCAGTTGTTTGGGGTTTGATCTGTAAAGCTCAGGCAGCAGAAGCAAAAATAGGAAAATGTATTGCATAAAAAGAAAATATTGCTGTGCCCCAGATCACAGCATTGAGAAAATATTTATAACCTGTGCATCTGAGGGAGCATTAATATATAAAAATATATAAAAAATGGAACAATCTTAGCATTAACACAAAAACAATTTAATAGACATTTCTTGAAAGACATATACAAATGCATAACAGATATACAAAAAGATTATCAATATCACTAACAATGGAAATAGAAGTTTAAGTCTAAATAAGTTACCATTTTCTACTTATCAGAATAGCTTTTATCAGAAAGATAAAAGGTAATGTGGACAAGGATGTGGAGAAAAAACTGTTATCCACTGTTGATTGAAATGTAAAGTAGTGTATTCATAATGGAGAACACAACCTGTGTGTCAGAGAGCTCACCTGGCACACAGGCTGCGGTTTGATCTACAGCACTGTGGTTTGATCTTAAAGCTAAAAATAGAATTACTGTGTAATGCAGGAGTCTAGCTTCTAGGCACATGTACAAAAAATTCAAGATCAGGGGATCAAAGAAATAATCCACAGTGCATGTTTTCTGCAGCGTTATTTACCATAGTCAAGGTATGTAACTGACTTGCATGTCCATCAGCCAATACTGGATAGAGAACATGTATACAGACAGCTGGGGGGGCAGCTCTGTTGGCAGCAATGTGTGTTTACCTGGTAAACATTTTATTAAGTGAAAGAAGTCAGGCAGAGAAATACAATACTGTGTTCTCACTTACAAACAATCTAAACCAGTTGGACTCCTAGAAGCAGAAAGAATGGTAGCTGCTAGATAAGTGTAACACTAAGTTGTTGGTAAAATATATTTTTTAAATAAAGAAAAGTAACAACAAATTTTTAGGTGGTAGATATGGTAATAAGTTTTTAGTCATCATTTCCATGTTGTAAACATTTATCATGACATTAATTTTTCCCTATAAGTATATATGTATATATTTATAATGTCAGGTATTCAGTGAAACATTTAGAAAACTGTTCCATTTCTAGTGTACTGTTTCTTAGAAAGCCTTGCTTTTTGTTTTTGAGACAGTGCCTCACTATGTATTTCAGGCTGGCCTTGAATTCACCCCAATTCTCTTGCCTCAGCCACCTGAGTGCTGGCATTATAGGCATGCACCACCATGCCTGGCAAACCTTGCTTTTTCTTAAGAGAACATTACTCATAATTATAGTTTATAACTTTGTATAAATATAGATACTTTCTATTTGCCTGGTTATTTTATCATGGCTTACTAGAATTTTTTGTGGTTTTTATGATGATTTATAGATGATGATTTTTTAGCATGAAAAATGCAGAAATTATCTCATACTAACTTGTTATAAAACTCTTGCTGTGTGAAGGTATGGGTAGTTTTATAACAGAAATTCCAAAACATGCTTTTTTTCTGTTTTATTGAATTCTTCCTCTTTACCCATTGTTTTATTGCTTTGGAATTAAAGGTTACCATTTATCAACTCGTTACATAAATTTGCTATGGATAATTTACCATTAAAGTATATCATGTGGTATTTTAGGATTTATTTATGCTTAATAAATATGAATTTTTTCTCTTCATTTATGAGATGGCCATGTTTTTTGGCAGTTAGTGTGTGCTTCAGGGCCATGGTAGAAAAATAACTTTCAGAGCTAACATTTTGATGATAGTTTGAAAGTACATTTTCCTCCTATTGATTGGAATTGTATGTAATTAATTACCTTTCATTAATTAAGAGTATAGTTTTGGGCTGTCTTTTTCACTGTGAATTTGTCTAATTAATTAGAAATATATGTTACTTTGTATCTTGTAGATATCTCTCCTAAATGTGTAATAAAGGGTTCATCACCAAAAGGGAAGAGCAGTACAGGAGAAATATTTAAAAGAGTGACACTAGAAAGACATGAAAGGAATAACATCAAAGGCTTTTCATTCAAGGATGTCCATAAGAATAGACATGGCTTTGAGTTGCACTGGAAAGATACTGAAAGAAATTACAACAGCGTGCTTGTGGTTCAGAAGGAAAGTCTCATTAGTAGAAGAGGTCAAGGTAGTAAAAGGGACACAGAAAATAAACTTATGAAAAATTGGCTTGGCTTAAGCTTTCAGGCCCATCTGCCTGAACTGCAAGCACTTCAGTCTAAAGGAAAAACTGGTAGTCATGAAGGTGACGGGTCCATCAACAATGCTTCCTCAGTTTCACCACCTCAAAGAATTGCTTCTGTCAAAGCACATATTTCTCAGGAATATGGAAATGACTTTATTTATTCTTCATTACTCACAAGACAGAAAGCTCATGTTAGAGAGAAACCTTACCAATGTAACGAGTGTGGCAAGGTCTTTAGTTACACTTCATCTCTAGCACATCATCGAAGAATTCATACGGGAGAGAAACTATACAAATGTATTGAATGTGGCAAGGCATTTTTCAGGCGTTCATACCTTTTGGTACATGAGAGACATCATACAGGAGCTAAGCCTTACAAATGTAATGAATGCGGCAAAGTCTTCACTCAGAATTCTCACCTTACAAGTCACCGGAGAATTCATACTGGGGAGAAACCTTACAAGTGTAATGACTGTGGCAAAGCCTTCAGCGTGCGTTCAAACCTCACTAACCATCAGGTTATCCACACAGGAGAAAAACCTTACAAGTGCAACGAATGTGGCAAGGTCTTCAGTCAGACTTCAAGCCTTGCAATTCATCGGAGAACTCACACTGGGGAGAAACCCTACAGGTGTAACGAGTGTGGCAAGGTCTTCAGTTCCCATTCTAACCTAAACACCCATCAAGTGATCCATACTGGAGAAAAACCCTACAAATGTTCTGAGTGTGGCAAGGTCTTTACTCAAAATTCACACCTTGCAAATCACTGGAGAATCCACACGGGAGAGAAACCTTACAAGTGTAATGAGTGTGGTAAAGCCTTTAGTGTGTACTCAAGCCTGACCACCCATCAGGCCATCCATACTGGAGAGAAACCTTACAAATGTGATGAGTGTGGCAAGGTCTTCACCCAGAACTCACACCTTGCCAGTCATCGAGGGGTTCATAGTGGAGAGAAACCATACAAGTGTGATGAGTGTGGCAAAGTTTTCAGTCAGACATCAAATCTTGCAAGGCACTGGAGAGTTCATACTGGAGAGAAACCTTACAAATGTAATGAGTGTGGCAAAGCCTTCAGCGTGCGTTCTAGCTTAACTTCCCATCAGGTTATCCACACTGGAGAAAAACCTTACAAGTGTAATGAATGTGGTAAGGTCTTCAGTCAGACGTCAAGCCTTGCAATTCACCAGAGAATTCACACTGGAGAGAAACCTTACAAGTGCAATCAGTGTGGAAAAGCCTTTAATTCACATTCTAACCTAAACACCCATCAGGTGATCCATACTGGAGAAAAACCCTACAAATGTTCTGAGTGTGGCAAGGTCTTCACTCAAAATTCACACCTTGCAAATCATCGGAGAATCCATACTGGAGAGAAACCTTACAAGTGTAATGAGTGTGGTAAAGCCTTTAGTGTGTACTCAAGCCTGACCACCCATCAGGCCATCCATACTGGAGAGAAACCTTACAAATGCGATGAGTGTGGCAAGGTTTTCACACAGAACTCACACCTTGCGAGTCACCGTAGGACTCACACAGGAGAGAAACCATTCAAGTGTGATAAGTGTGGCAAAGCCTTTAGTGTGCGTTCAAGCCTAACTACCCATCAGGCAATTCATACTGGAGAAAAACCTTATACATGTAAAGACTGTGGCAAGGTCTTTAGTCGAAGTTCCAACCTTGCAAGCCATCAGAGAATTCATGCTGGACAGAAACCTTATAAGTGAATGTAATTGGTCACAACTTCTTGCATAACATCAGAGATTTCATTTTTAGGAGAATCTTTATAAATGCAATGAGTATTAAAAGCCATTTGTCAATAGTTAAAACATTAGTGGACATAAGAGTCCATGCTGAAAAGAAATCTTACAAATTACACAGCACAAGCCTTAATCAAGTCCCACACTAGATGCCAAAATATACATCTTTGATGAAACCATACAAATGGAAGGTACTTGTGTAGTTATGCTATTAAGAGATGATCATAACTTTAGATGAGGATTTATTCCAAAACCAGTTCAGTCTCTAGCTCTCTATTATATTCTGCAGAATATTTCCAATTAAAAATATGTGAAAACCCATGACCTTAAACACATGAAAGGTACAAGGATGTTTGGAAATACTCATTCTCTTCTGGTTATAAATTATTTTACCCAGTTATTTGAGGTCTCTTTGCTAGTTTTGACTCTGAACTTGAATTTTAAAACATGTTCATATTCTGTCTTCCCTACCAGCCTTTTATTGTGGCCTCTGAGAAAGAACTAGTAAGATAGGCTTACCTTTGGTAGATAAGGGTCATTTCTGTGTAATGTCTGAGAAGGAGTTTGCCTTTTGAAGTTTAAATATTGTCTAAACTGGCAACTGGAAAAGGCAAACAATAAGGTAAAACTGACAAATCATCACATTTATTTGTGTACATTGCATCTGCAAAAGATCACCATGGTTGATAGGAATAAACATGCTACCAAATGGTTGTGCAGTACAGCAGGCCAGGAAATTAGGCCCTGGGGAGTTTATGGGCTAAGAATGATAGCCTGGAAGGGGCTGAGTGTGAAAGAACTAATATAGAAAAATGACCACCTTCTACGTTGACAGTATGACAGTAAATGTCATAGAGCAAATCATGAATGAATGATGTCATTTTTCAAGTTGAAGAAAGATCATTTATACTGTAGAGTGTAATTGAAAGAACTAGAGTAGGGACTGGGAGGAGTATAGCTCAGTGATAGAACACTTGTCTAGCATGCACAAGACCCAGAGTTCAATCCTCAGTACCACAAAGATGAGTAATTTTAAAAATAGCATTTTGTTGAGGATCATTGCATTTAACTGCTGATGTTAACAGCTTGCAATTGCTTTATTCAGAGTATATTATTGGTGTGATGTTTTAATAAAATTAATCTTTTAGTATGACTGCTCCTTCTTTTGTCCACATGGTTTTATTTCTTCTCAGTGCAATATTTTACAGACAGTAACAGTAACAGTATATAGTTTAAAACAAGTTCATTAAAGGTGGATTATCACAGGTAGAGGGGTTTACAAGTTCTGAAAACACGAGAGTGGAGTGCTTGCAGCTGCTTTTCTATTGTGTCAGCACTAGCCTGCCTAGCTGTTGGGCACCAGCTGAGGTAGAGAAAGGGTAAGTGAACTTTTCCTAAGAGGGTTCTGACAAAGCCCACCACCTGCAAAGCTGCTGGTGGCAAAGAGAATGAAAGAGCCACTGTGCAAGAGCACCTTCTGCTGGTTAGGTGGAGAAAAGTATGTTTACTGGCCATGGGCATTAACTCTTTATAGGTTCACTGATTTGTACCCGCTCAGCATCTGGGGAAAGAAATTTAAGGACTTCAAAACAGATCTGTTTTCCTATTGCACACCTATTGGTGTTTTCCAGGAAGTTTCTGGGAACACAATTAAATTTATCTTTTTTCCCTTCGTACTGGTCAGTCAGGGCTTGGTGCAAGATTCTTTCCTCCCATCCTGGTTGGCCACTTTGCAGATGTCAGGCTGTGTGCTGTCCATGCCAGACATACGACAGTTATGCCAGAAGATTGCTACACATTGCACTGGACTTATTTTGCAGCTAAATGAAGACTTTGGGAGTCCATCCCCACTTGCTTTAATTAGGCACTCAGCATATCCTACTGTGTCCATGAACTCAGGACAAGACTGCTTTCTTCTTTTTACTAGTAAATGTTTTCAATACTTACAGATTACAACGGTTGCAGAGAGTTGCTGCATATACCTAATACATCTTATTTTTTTCCTTTTTTCTGACATGATGTCCTATCCTTACCTCTCTTCCCTGCTCCTTTCAACTTTTGGTTCCTTTCCCATTTGGGAAAGCTCTATTTTCATCATTTTTCCCCTCTCAATCCCCTCTGCTTTCCCTCCCCCAAATTATATAAAACCAAGCCAAAAGCAAAGCCCAGCCTTGGTTTCTAAGAAACTTTAAAAACTGGTTTGGTTTGTTTTCAGATGTGTGCCACCATGCCAAGTTGGACAGGGCTGTTTTTAAACATGTCATTGATTTTGAGAATTCAGTAAATGAGGACTTGGTTGCTTCTGAACTGCCTCAAGTTCCCCAAGCTGCAGAGAGTGAATCTTCAGTGTGGTGACATAGCTGTTAATGTTTTAAACATGCACAAGACAGTCTATTGATAGCCCTTGATTTTGGTCCAAAAATGATTCTGTAGAAACTTTCAATTTAAAATAAAAATGGAATAAATAAATAAGTGGAATGCTGACAAAGTTCATCAGTAGAGCTGGGCTCTGGGTTCAATCCCCAGTACTGGGAGAGGGACAGGAGGCTAGAGAGGGGTGAGAGAGAAAGATTGGGTCATCTAATCACAATCAGCAGATCTTGGATGTTTTCTTCAAAGACATACTGTCTTCATGAAGCACTTCTTACGCTCTCTCTCGTTCTTGGGAGAAATTTATCACAATTCCATTTGGATAGACTTTCTGTCATGGATTTTTCTATTCTTACAATTTAGCCTATTGTTATTTCAAGATTGGAAGTCTCATAGGCACATTTCAATTAATCCTGAAAGCTTAGTTTATTTTGTTATATGGTAGCCTGAGTAGCACATTGATTTCAGAACCATGGTGCTTAAGAACTATAATGAGATTTCCTTATTATTTGGATATTATGATTATTTTCTGTGTTGACATTTGAACTTGGCCTCATGTGTGCTAGGCAAGCAGTCTACACTTACCCCCAACCCTACTGCTTAAATTGTATACCAGTTATCAAAGTTACTGTGGTCTACACTAAATGACATCAGGAACCACTAGAGGTTGGTATTGTGTCTAGGAGCTCATCGCTTTCTACTAAATCACCACATGCCTCACTGTTTTTCCAGTTTTCTTCTTCAGTCTCTTTTTAGTCCTGAACGACCCCCGTTTCTGCTATGAAAACTTACCCATGACTCCTGATAGGTGTCCTTCCTTATTGGCTGTGCCTCTGAGAGTCACATTTATCCTTTTGCAGGGACAATGAACAGAGAATGAAGCAGCTAATGCTGTGTAGGAAGGAAGCAGCCAGACCTGAGTCATGGTCCTATTAAGTGGTGACTTCCCTTCTCATGTTGGGAACCATGAATTATAAACCTAGTGTAGAGGATGTCCCAGCCTGTTCTTTTCCTGCCCTGTAAGCTGGACTGCAATGTGAAAACTCCCCACTTAGTCTTAGCTGAAGCTCTATGGCTAGTGGCACTCATGGCACTCATAGGGCAAGATAGGAGCTGCTGAGAATGACAAGAATCTTTAAAGCAATGCAGTAGCAATAGTAAAAGTTTCCTCTGGTAAAAAATAGTTTCTTTACTGACCTTTGTCTCATCCTTGCAGGAATGCTTTTTTAAATTTTTTACAGTCATCACCACTTTTACAGGAAAAGTACACTACCCCTATGAAATTGTACCTACATGCTCAATAAACAGAGGGCCAGCCTTGTTTTGCTTACCTTAAAGCACTGACCTCCCAACCCCCTTTACATATTACCAAATAGTCTATCTGTTATTTCAAAGTATGCAGCATACAGGCAGTTGGAGATCTTGGCCAAGTCACTGGCAACTGGGACTGCAACAGGGACATTCTCCTGATTAGGCCTATAAGAGGCACCCAAATGGAAAGAAGAGGGCATGAGATGGTAAGAGGATGCTGCAGAACAAATTCAGAGTCCTGAGTGAAAGAGAAAGGCAACATGGTGCCATGGAAAGATTTTAGTTAGCTGTGATGATGGAGCAGAATTTGTTAGTAAAAGGACAAAGATATGCACAGTTATTATGTACATTGCTAAAGCAGGCCAGAGCTCAAATCAGTACCTGAAAACTGACAAGAATGTTACAAGAAATTGCTCAATATAATTGGGGCAAAGTGGGAGACAATTGAGATCTTGGCAGAGGATAAACTGTTTTTCCTGGGACATTTTCATCTAGGGGATTGGTAAAATCTCTTTCAGGTCTGTTACTGAAATTATGCCTACATGCTCAGAGGGCCAGCACTTCCAAAGTACTAGCACTTCCAAAATTCCCGTTTCAGAGCAGGACAAGGGAGAAAAATGTAAAGAAAAGGAGAAACCACCTTCTGTGTGGCCAGCTCCTGGCGAAGACCCAGAGTTGGATGAGGCTTAATGGGGAAACTCTTCATTGGCCTGCACCTCCAGAATTTTTAGAGGGTGACATAATGTGCCAAAGAGGGCACTGCAGTGTTCTCCAGGTGACAGAGGCAGTGGCATGGGACCTGTGCCAGGAGGAATGAGGTGCCACTGGCAGGCCAGTGGTGGAGCCATATAACAGAGAAGTAACTTCTCCTTCTCTGCTTTCATTGGTGACTATGGAGAGGGAATGAGAGCATGGTGGCACCAAAATATGTTCATTGCTATGACAGCTGTCAGAGCCTGAACTGTACCATTACATGAATTGACAGAAGGATCAAAAGGATTAACTGATCATAATTATATACCAGTCAATTTGGGGCACCTCCAGGAAGGTAATAATTGGATTGTATTGCCCAACATTCTGTACACAATGGAGGGTAAGTGAAACGAGGGGTATAATTTATGCAAGCCTTAGCCTGCATCTCTAATAATGATGAAGGGCCAGGTAGCTCCAATTAACATGTAATAAACTTTTGATTTATGATAGATGTCAAGATTCAGGCCCAAGTAATGGGTGAGATTAGGCACCTATTACTAGTACTCGCATACTGGCCAGGTTACCAGCACTCTCAGAGTGCACTCATCTTTTCACCCGTATTGACATGGACAGTGCAGGCTTGGGGAGCAGAGATGTCTTCTGAGAAACATTTCCCCAACTGCTATGTGAGGAAAAAAGGTCTCTGGCCAGCATCTCTTAAGAGACCATTGGGAGACCGGGAAGCTCTTTCTGTGACATGAACCTACAGACTGGCCTCCCACAGAGAGATCCAGGAATCAGACCTCTGACACACAGGAGACTTGATGAGAAGCTCATGTTTCCAAGTGCTTTAATGTTTTACAGCAAAGTGAGTTCCTTTCAATCTTCATACCAAGGACGTATGGCACCACTAACTTACACCTATTGAAACAGATGAAGTGAAAATGCCAGGAAAGGATTTTCAAGGACATGCACATAGGCACACATTGGATAGATGAGCGTTCCGGTCCTCGCCCACTTGGCCTTTCCAAAGCTGAGTGTCCTTGTGCTATCTGTGCTAAATGTGTAATAGCTATATCAGAAGGCTAATAACTTCAATAAATGCAAATATTACATGTCATAAACATGAACTAAGTTTAGTATCAACAAGAAGAAAACTGGGAAAAGGGATTTACAGGAAGGAGGGTGGTGGGAAGAGGAAGGGGATTAAGAAGGAAAGAAGCTGTATAATGAGTTATCACTCCCTAGAATGTATACTTCATGTACTGCAAACATGCACTAAAAACCAAACCAAAACAAAAAGATCCAGCTAGTACACAGATGTGTCTGTGATCCTGCAAGTAAATGAGGAGTTTGATGAGTCCCTCCTCAGGCATAACACACTACCTAGTCTATTACTGAACTGTGACAAAGCAGGACTATTTTCTTTTTCCCTTTCCTTCCTTCCTTCCTTCCTTCCTTCCTTCCTTCCTTCCTTCCTTCCTTCCTCCCTGCCTCTCTCCCTCCCTTCCTTCCTTCTCTCTCTCCCTTTCATCATCACTCCTTTTCCTCTCCTCTCCTTCGCTTGTTTTCATTACTGAGGATAGGACCCAGAAGTGCTCCACCATTATCACTAACACTTGATTTTTATTTAAGGGTAGGACCTGGGTTAGTTGCCCAGCCTGGGCTCAAATTTAGGATTCTCATGCCTCAGTCTCCTGAATAAATGGAAATAAGTTTGCCCCACAGACCTCTGCCAAATTTTGAGTTTTACTTGTTTTGGGAAAAATTTGTATTTTACTGTTTTTGGGCAATGTGCCACTCCACATTCTCTCTTGATGGTGGGCACAGGCCTGGTGTTCCTTCAGGAGAAGAACCCTTAACCTAGAATGCTTTGTTGCTAAATTGTATTACTTGGTGAGATGTTTTATATTTTAACTTACAGTAGGTTGTCTGTATATTGCTAGAAGTATATAGCACATGTTAAACTTTTTAATTCTGGAAATGGTGAACAATAAATTGTACAGTTCTGTAGTGAAATGAATGTGAGAGAAACAGAAACCCCAGAAAAAATGACTCATCAATCCCAGCAGAAGATCCAGAAATAATCCAGTCATAGAGGCAGTGTGCTATTTGCTGTATGTGGACAGAGATTCTGAACATCCTCAACCCTATATAGAGACTTCACATTTGGAGATCCGGAGTAGAGTGGAGTTCAAACTTTGCCCAATTATGAAGTCAGCTGTGCACATCCAGAAGGACAGCAGGTTAGTATCCATCATTTGGGACCTTGGTTTATTTCACTGGAAAAGTGGAAGAAATCTGCATTGGGTGGGCTCAGCGCTGAGATCAGGAATATGTGTTTAATAGAATTTCCATCACAGAGTTTGATCTAGGTGGGTGAGCATTTTTGGAGCCCCGGTGCTTTTGATGGAAGGAATTGAAAAAGTGTCATCATTTTTGCTCACTAACATTTGATTTCAATATTAGGAAGCAGTTGGCAGGAGGTGGTAACAGGTAGGGCTGTGAGTATAACTTGTGGATGAGTCCACAGAGTATTTTCACTGTGAGCTCCTGGTACAGTGTTAGAGGCAAAATACAGTCTATACTTTCGTACTTGGAAAATAGTCTTTCATTTATTTTGGTAATCTGAATTCTTAAGAAGAAAGTGTCCTTTTTTCTATTTTTAAGGTATGGTTGTTTTAGGGTTAAATATAGTATTTCCTGAAAATTTATTTCCTTTTTTGTTTGTAGCATTGTTTTTGTATTTTCCTAATATGATTCATTATGAAAATTTTATTACATTTTTATGGTAGCCTATAGTAACATATGCTATTGCTAGTTTTCAAGAAACTATTTTTGTCATGTTCTATTTATTTATTTTTATTATAGTCATTCTTTTTATGTATCTGGTACTGGGATTGAACCCAGGGCCTTTATGCTGAGTTGGGCTTCAGCTATTTTTTTTTATTTTGACACAAATTCTCACTAAGTTGCTAAAATATACTGAGATTATGCACATGTCACTCCACCTGACTTACAGTTTTATTTTATTAACAAATGTCATCTTTTTTGCCTTTTAGGTAAGATCGTGGTTTTTTGTGTCTAATGTCTTAAAATGTGCACCTCTGTATACTTTATATTTTGCAGCAATATGGTTGCTTAGAGTCAGAATCTCCTCATAGGATTTGCTTCACTTTTAAGTTTGGGTATAAAATGGTTTATCATTTATTTTATCAACAAATATTGATTTGTATTACAATATTTTTATTTCAAGATATTTTTCAGAAATATTATGAAGTGTGTTTAAAACATGGTTAAATTTATAAAGAAGTTACAGAAACAGCTATACCTAATTTTGTGAAGTTGTGAAAAAGAACAGACTACATTTTTTGGTAGACTCATAGATGATACTTGTCCTACAGTGTGGTTACATTCTGATAAGCCTACTGTAAATTGAAACTACTGTACATCAAAAATTCATCAAATACACTTAACTTATTGAGCATCATGCCTTAACTTAGTCTACTTTATTTTTTTTTTTTTTTTGTCTTTTTTTCCTTTTTATCGGTACCAGGGATCGAACTCACGACTGCCTGCTTACAAGGCAGGCGCTTATGCCGCTGAGCTAAATCCCCAGCCCCCAACTTAGTCTACTTTAAACTGAACAGAATACTTATATTAGCATAGAGGTGGGCAAAGTCTGTTTTGCAAAAAAGTGTCAAAACTCTTATGTAATTTACTGAATATTTATATTCACGACACCAGAACACAATCCACTGTAGTGCTTGTGTGGTTTACCCTCATGGTCTGTCATGGCCCACACAGAGCTGGGCTTTGCTGCTGCATAGCACCATGGGAGATTATCATACTATCTGTCATTAGCCTAGGTACAGAGAAAAATTTAAATTCAAATGGTAACTTTGAGTCAGTCTATATGTTTTCTTTGAATCCAAGTAAATGATCAGCTTCTTCCTCTTTTCCTTCTCCTTTTCCTTCTTCCTCATCTTCCTTTTTCCTTCCTCCTCCCTCTTCTCATTCTTTCCCCTCTCCTTTCTCCTACCCTTCCTTCCCCTGTCCCCTTCTTTCTCTCTCTCTCTCCTCCTCCCTCCTCTTCTTCCTTCTGCTGTCTTTTTGAGACAGGGTCTTGCTGTCTAGTTCAGGCTCGTCTTATGCTCACTATGTTGCTCAGGCTGGCCTCAAGCATATGATGAATTTCCTGACTCAGCCTATTGAGTGCCAGGATTACAGGTATGTAATCTTCTTCTCTCCCCCCTCCTCTTTCTTTGGTTAAACTTTTCCAATGTTTTAATGGCATATCAGCAGGGTCTCTCAACAATATTCTTTGTATATCAATCACGTTAGGTATAGTGAAAAGCTTGATTTTGACTGATGGCTTTTCATTAATACTGGTACTATGATATGTATAAAGACAGCTACATGGACTTTTCATCAAAAGTTATTAGGTCAGATGATGGATACAGAGGAACAATGCGATCAACTGCATACTGCATATGGGAGATTGCAGTCACATGGTGAGTCTATGGAGTCATAATCTTTTTTTTTACCGAGAAACAGAACTCCTTGGATGTGACCAATGCAGGTGAAGCCCAACACTCTCTCAGTGCAATATGCAGTATGGGATTCTACAATGAGATGTAGTGTGGGAGATGAAGGAGTAAGGAGTCAACCTGGGGTTAATGCTGTGAAGGTTCACCTTCCATTGCTAGGGGAATACTTCACAAAACATCAAAATGCTGGCAGTGACAAGTGAAAATGGGATGGCATAACATCAGGATGGACAGAGCCAAAAGCATTGGAGACAACTCAGTCTAACTTCCTGGGAAAACAGCATTCTCATCACTCTTCACCTCTCTCCATTTGCACCATTTGGAGGTCATCAGCTTATACTTTGTGGGCTGTGGAGCAGAGGAACTGTTGGTTACTATAGTATTAAGTGGTTCACCAGTTTGGGAAGCCATTTATCCTCTCTTAAGGCCTCATCCAAGTGGCAGCATTCACACTTTATCTCCATTCCCCTTTCTTTTTCAGATAGATAAAATGCTAGAGAAATGAACAGTTTTTACCTCTGTGGAAATTTTGCTGTGATTTCCTCTGGTGCTGGGAGACACTCTAGCAGCCCACTGTGTCAAAAAAAAAAAAATCTAACAAGAAGAAAACCAAAAAAACCCCCACAAAGATCCTCTGAAGAAGAAGCCTCATAATACCTCCTGAACACTTGGAGACTAAAATGGGAGGTGTGATAAACATCAGGGAGCAATATGGCCTTGATGCTTTCTGTAGCTTGAAGGTGGGTTGTGGGCTGTGGACATGTCTGGATGTGCCTGGAGGGTTCTGTCTTCTCTGTCTCTTATTGTAAGTGGCCTGGCGCTGTTTTCACATTGTTCTCCTCCACATGTGCTCTAGGTGGCTTGCCTTAGTGCGGCCTTACAGATGCCTGTGTGGAACCTGTGGTGTAGTTACAAGGTGCTCACATGAAATGCTGAGTACCCACTAGTTTAAATGTTACAGGTTTGCAGTGCTTGTCTGAGCAAGTGGCTGGTTTTCTGAATGAGAAATTGTTTTTATATGTAGTGGGTTTTAGGGAAATATGTGAAGTACTTTTTGGGTTTTGATTTCGTTAGATGCTTTATGTTTGGAGGAGATAGGTCAGTTATAATTGTAGTTCTTTGATTAATCTCTTTTCTGATAACTGTTCTTCAAATTCCAATAGGAAGAATTTTTGACCAGTCATGGTATACAATAGTTATGGTCATTCAAAAGAGAGGTACACATAATTTCCCTTGCACAATCTATCCCAAAGATATATTACTCTTCTCCAATAAAAACTTCAGTCCCTTATGGTGTTATCTTATCTTACAGTTTTTAGGTTTCTTACATTCTATAGTGCTTCTACATGTGGAAGAGGGTGGGTTGAATACAGTAGGCAAATGTAGGGAGAAAAGGCTCCCTAACTTTAGCCAAAGTGACTCTATCCTTTTGTGGATCACTGTTTAGCTGTATTGGATTTCAGAACTGCAGCAGATATTGCATTGACCATATCATGTGTGACAAGGCACTTACCCGAGGCTATCTCCCATATTGTGGGACATATTGTGATAAACACCCCCTCCTCCAAGTGGTACAGAGTTGAATTATTCCCTTAGTGCGTCTAATTTGCTGTGTGAGTACAGGGTATTCTGAGAACATCTGATGACATGACATACTGTCATAGGATTATAGGAGAGCAGTGGCTGGTACTGCATGGCCCTTGCTATGGGTGACAAGGCAGGCCTAAGGCTGAACTAGCAGCCCACGGGGAAACCCTGGGATGGCGGTTTACCTCTAGGTGAGTGGTAGTTTCTATTATGAATGCATGGGAACCACTGTGAATATAGGGATGCCAGTTTCCACAAAGCAACATGTCAGATGTGAGAAGAGACTCTCAGACCACATAGGGGCTGGTAATGAAACTGGGGTTGAGTCATCTCTAGTTATCAAGTGAGGGGGAATTAGCCTTCCTGATGACACTGAAGGAGCTAATGAGCTCAGTGTGGCATATTCTGGGGGGGTCAACTTTTGGAGTCCAGTTTGTCTAAATGGCATGCCTAAAGCATTTCATGTGAGTAGCTTTTAGACAGTTGTGAGGCTGTAACAAGATTGTTGCTTTTCAGTTGCTTTGTGCTTGTGCTAAAATTATTCTGTTCAGTTTATGTGAAAATCTGTTATTAAACCATTAGTTCTGCCTATGGTGCAAGTACTGGTGAGCCAGCTCTTAGATCAAAGAACAGATAGGAAAATACCAGAGGGGTTTAATATCTACATCATCATAGGGCATGTGATCGAGTCATTAAATAGGACAGGTAAAGGGATGTAAGTGTTGAGTGTAAAGATATACTTTGGTAAGAAGGGATTTTGTATGCTAAGATTTTGCCCCGCCAGACTGAAAAAAGATGGGAAGAATAATTGTAACATTAAATACACAATAGGTTGTGAATGATGAGCCTTTCAAAGGGAAATACGTTCAGCTGTTTTGTCTCTGTTCCTGTTGGTTTTGTGAAACTTAGCACTTACTTCTTACAAACAATTATCTCAATCTCCACTTCCCCTCCAATATAGGACTGGAGAAGACCAACAATTGGAACAGCATTCAAGTAATGATCCTCAGTGGAAATAATAATCATTGTGAATAATCAGTGATGCTTTCAAAAACAATTTCATTAGAAGAAGGGGAAATACAAGGAAAGCACAAGAGTTGTGAAAATTAAGAAAAAGCCACTCATGTCTGTCCCACCTAAAGGTAAACAGAGCTGGCTTGTAAACAAAAGCTTCTTAGCTATCAAAGACTGATGGTAACTGCTGCAAGGGGCTCTCCTAAAATCCTGTTTATTCTGAGTCTGTTTTATTCCTCATTTAACAGACCTGCCATTAAATAATCTGCATCTTGGTATTCACCGCAAGAAAAACCTTATACCAGGGTAAAGGGCTAAATCAGGGCCCGCCCATCATAATGCAGAGAATTCGTCTGCTGGTGTAAATGGAGAAGATGAAGACCTGGCATCACTGCTTGGCTGTTCAGTGGGCCCTTATTAGGGCCCAGAGTCTGCCACACTGCAGCACAAGGTCAACAGACACTGTGGGCCTACGTGCTGAGACCCTCAGAGCTCCACAGGATGGAATGAGAATGGAATGCAGGTAATTTTATCACAAGGGCTTCAGTCTTTTTCTCTTACTTTCTGGCTGATTGCCACAGTCTTATAAGTTCAACTTCTCAAAGATGATTAGAAACAGCAGGAGTGAGGCAGCATACACATTATCCTTCACTATGTAAGCAACCCCTCATAAACTCAGTCGCTAAGCTGTAGTTGTCTGTGTCATGCTGTGTGCCTTCTCAATTTGGAGGCAAGTGTTTCTTTTATATCTTTCTATCAAATGAATGGATCAGCAGATGACTGGTATAATTTTAAATCGCTATCAGCTCATATATATATATAATGTTGGCATCCTGGTTCATGGTTTTTCTCCCCAGCAATTTGGTTTCAAATAGAAGTGTTTGGCATAATTTTTTGTTTTGAAGCTCTGCTGTGGTAACAAACGAGCAGAGATATCTTCCCCACAAAATCACAAATGTGGCCACCATTTCCAGAATTATGTAACGAACTAAGTCCATACCATTGTGTACCACTGTGGAGTGTGTATGCATATATATATATATATATATATATATATATATATATATATATATTTTACTGGAGATTGAACACAGGCCTTTGACATGTGCAGAAGTGCTTTATCACTGAACTATATCCTAATCCTTTATATATTTGTTTCACACAATAGTATTTTTGTTTCACGGGGGCCTCACTAGTTGCCTAGCTGGCATTAAATGTGCTCCTTCTACCACATGGCTGAAGTTTAGGCATGCACTATGACATCAGGCCCAAATACTCTTTAATGTAAATCATAAGTTTAAAAGGCAGTGTCCTTGTTCCAAAGGAACATGGACACCCTTCCTCACTTTATGAGGTAAGACCTTTATTTTACTGATGCCTTCGTAAACACAACTATGAAAAGCTTGTAAGAAAAGTTTTTTAACAGGTTTCAAAGGTTGGATTAAAATCCAAATATAGTCCTTCCCCCCAAAAGTCTGAGGAATGAATAATAGAAATATTTAGCCATTTACAAATATCCTTCCATCTTAGACATGCATCATGAATGTTAATATAGTTTAACTTGTAATTATTCTGTAGTATGCAAGAGACGTTTCATCTTGGCTAGATCTATTCTTCATACAAATGCTGTGATATGGAGAACATTGAGAATCAGTTAAATAATTTACCATAGCATTATACTTGTAGTTCTTTGTAGTACTAATTCATTGGCGAATCCTGAGGAGATAGCCTTGAAAAATGAACTTTTTGTTCACTTTGAAAGGGTCAGTTCAGGCTGTCCTCAAAGTAGTGGCTACCCTCCTAAGTTTTCCAAGACCTGGAATTACAGGCAGGCTTCACAGTGTTTGTCTGGTTTCACTCCAGAACAAACCCTTTTATGACAACAAAATAAATATTTGACAAGGTTCACTACACATATATCTGTAAGGCTGCTCGCCAGTTCAACTATTCTATAGTTTTGATGCTTGGATAAAAGCCTTAATATGCCCTTTACCTTTGTGTGGCTTCGTCAAAAGATATCATTTGGTACCTACTGAATTTTGAAGCCTGAAGGTCTCTGTTGCATATGCATTATGGTATTTTTAACTGTCACTCTTTAGTATGGATTGAGATACTGGTTATTGAACTCATCATGAAGGTTTTGTCACTCTACTGCATCTGTGAAATATCAGTCATGTACAAATTGTCCAGTGTTATGCAGGCTGTGAATGTGCACATTTGTTACATTGCTATGGCTTCTCTCCAGGATGATTATGTGTACTCAGGTGTGAGCACTGGAAATAGGGTTTGCCAAACAGATTACACTCTTTTAAGGACTTTATCTAGGATGTATTTTGTGATGTGTACTGAGGCTTTACTGCTACTCATGTATTTGCGACTCTCACTCCATTTGTGAGGTTTCTTTCCACTTTGAATTTTTTGGTGAATACTAATGTCAGATTTTCACCTTAAGGCATTGTTACATTGGTAAGGTTTTAGCTTACAATTAATTATGTGTTAAGTAACTCAAAGTCTGTATAATTACACATGAAAATTATCTTTCCAGCAGGAACTTTTCAAAGCTTTGTAAGGTTCAAACATTAATGACTCCAGCCTCATTTGTCAGCTTTCTCTCCGGGATGAAATTCTCCATTACATTCCAAGTTAAGAATCATCAGAGATGTCCTTGAGTTTTTTTTTTTTTTTTGGTATGGCCTACATGCTTAGTTAGGCTTAAGCACATACTAACAGCTTTGCTACACTCATTAATCTTGTAAGATTTCCCTTCCCAGTGAGTGTTGTGGTATATAAGCTGTCAAATTTCACTAAAGATTTGGGCGCATTCATTACATTTCAAAGGATTTGGTCAAGTATGAATTTTCCAATGATGTGCTAGAGATGAGTTTAGACTGAATACTTTGCCACATTCATTGCATTTTTAAGGTTTCTCTTCAGTATGAATTTTTTGATGACGTGTTAAAGATGAGTTCAGACTGAATACTTTGTCACATTCATTACATTTGTAAGGTTTCTCTCCAGTATGAACTCTACGATGATATACAAGGTATGAATTTTGAGTGAAGACCTTTCCACATTCATCACATTTGTAAGGTTTCTCTCCAGTATGAATTCTACGGTGACATATGAGATGGGAATTGCGATTGAACGCCTTGTCACATTCATCACATTTGTAAGGTTTCTCTCCAGTATGAATTCTACGATGACATACAAGGTGGGAATTGCGACTGAACACCTTGTCACATTCATTACATTTGAAAGGTTTCTTTCCACTATGAAATAGCAAATGTTCTGCAAGATATGACTTACGGCTAAACCCTTTACCACATTCTTTACATTTGTAAGGTTTCTCTCCAGTATGGAGTCTTTGATGATTTGCTAGGGAAGACTTGTGACTAAAAACATTGCCACATTCACTACATTTGTAAGGTTTCTCCCCAGTATGAATTCTACGATGCTGTGCAAGGTGTGAAATATGGTTGAAGACTTTGCCACATTCATTACATTTATAAGGTTTTTCTCCAGTATGAATTATCAAATGTTGTGCAAGGTAGGAATTGCGACTAAAGACCTTGCCACATTCATTACATTTGAAAGGCTTCTCTCCAGTGTGAACTGTTCGATGTCGGGCAAGGTGTGAAATCTGATGGAATACTTTTCCACATTCATTACATTTGTATGGTTTCTCTCCAGTGTGAATTCTATGATGATTTGCAAGGTGTGCAATCCTTTTGAAGACTTTGCCACATACATTACATTTGTGTTGTTTCTCCCCAATGCGGATTTTCTGATGATTTTCTAGGTCTGATTTATGGCTGAACACTTTGCCACATGTATTATATTTGAAAGGTTTTTCTCCAGTATGAATTTGCTGATGTTGTGCAAGGTGAGAAATATGATTGCAAACTTTTCCACATTCATTACACTTATATTGTTTCTCACCTGTATGAGTTCTCTGGTGACTTACAAGATTTGATTTCTGATTGAAGGCTTTGCTATATAGACCACATGTAAATTGCTCCTCTCTAGCACAGACTGTTTGATGCATAGTAAAGTGTGGGGCTTGATTAAAAGATTTGCTGCAGGAATTCCATCTGGAAGGTTTTGTACTAATGTACATGTCCTGTTCTTCTGTGAAAAATAAAGAATTAAAAAAATCTTTTTCATGTTTATGAGAAAAATTTGTTATAACACTAAAATTATTTTTCTTATGGGAAGAAACTCTGGAATCATTGTTGACAGACTGTTTAATGTAATTCCATTCAAAAATGTTTCTTTCTCTTGCATATAGCTGCAGTTCAGGCAGATGTGACTGAAAGCTTAATTCAAGCCGATTTTTAATATATTCCTTTCCTGTATCCTTTCTACCATGTTCATGTCTTTTATCAGAGAGATGTTCCTTGTGAGTCAAACAGAATCCTGTGTCAAGTCTTTCATCCTCTCTGCAGTGACAATGAATGTCATGTGTATTTTTCTGGATTTCTTTGAAGCACAATTCTTCAGTGTCATGGATTTTACAACTTTCTGAAATTACTGTTTGTAACATTTCTCTTGTAGCACTTTTCCTTTCTTGTGGAAATTCCTTGATGACACATTTAGGAGGGTTATCTATGAAGTAGAAGAAATCACCAGGTTCTGATTAATTATAGGTAATAAATAAATGCTGTTACAGAAACACATGACATTACACTAAAAGAAATAATACATATATTAAAGAGTTGTGACGTCCATGATTTTAATTTTTAGGAAACTGAAAGGTACAGATCTTTTGATGTGGAAAGTCTGATTATACGGAATTCAAATTAACTGCAGAAATGCTCAGTTTCACACCTATTTACACAGGCAGGACATAATGCAAGAAGGCACAGCAAATCCAAGAGCACAGAAAGTAATACTTCAAGATAAACAGAAAAGCAGAGCTGTGTTGTGATAGTGTCACTCAGTTATCACTCGCAGAAAATGTTAAGTGATCAACGCTGCATACGATAACTTAGGTGGTGTCCTGAGAACATTTAAAGGATGAATAGGTGTCTTTCATTATCCTGTGAGGGTAGTGTGGGAGTCCTTGCAAATTCGAGTGTACAGAAGAACAGATATAAACTAAGAAGCAGTAGTACGCTGCATGCAGATCAAGGAACCACACGAAAGAAAGCCAGCCTGGGGAAAGACAAGCATGCAAAGCAGCAGTAACAGGCGAGAGAAAGCAGCCTGAGCTGCTGAGTCTGCGGGGCTGGAATTGCGCAAGGGGAGTTAGTATTCCTACTACTGTGAAAAAGAGAAACAGATGCAGCAAGTGGCACAAAACTCTCATTCCCATATTTAAGAATGGGAAAAAGCTTTTGACAGAGTCTAGCACCCATTCATGAGAAAAACTCTACAGAAAATTGGAATAGATAGTCTTCATCTCAATCTGATAAAAGCCATCTATAATAAGCCAACAGCCAACATCAAACTAAATGGACAAAAACTGGAACAAGACAAGGATGTCCACTGTCACCACTCCTATACAACATAGTCCTGGAAACCTTAGCGGGAGCAATTAGACAAGAAAAGAAAAAGAATAAAGATAGGGAAGGAAGAAGTTAAACTATTGTTATTTGCAGATGACATGGTACTCTACTTAGAAGACCCCCAAAACTCCACCAAAAGACTGCTAGATTTAATAAGCAAATTCAGTAACATAGCTGGATACAAGTCAACACTCAAAAATTAATAGCCTTCCTGTATACAAATAACAAACTGAGAAAGAAATCATGAAAATAGTACCTTTTACAATAGCATCCAAAAAAAAAAAGAAAAGAAACAACACATAGGAATCAATCTAACAAATGATGAAAAGACCTCTGCACTGAAAACTACAGAACTCTGAAAAAAGGAGACTGAAAAGAATACTACAAAATGGAAAGATATTCTGTGCTGCTGGGTAGGAAGAACCAAAATAGTGAAAATGGCCATACAACCAAAATTTGAGATAAAATGTTTGCCAGCTGTGCCTTACACATAAGATCACTATTGAGGACATACAAAGATCTTAAAAAAAAAAAAAAAAATCAATGCTCCTAGATTTAAAGATCCAATCCAAAAATGGGCATCTGAGATGAATGTATACTTGTCAGATGAAGAAATACGAACTGCAAATAAATATATGAAGAATGTTCAACATGCCTGGATTTGAGAGATACAAATTAAAATAACACTGAGATTTCACCTCACTCCAGAAAAAATGGCTATTATTAAGAAATCAACCAATAACAAATGCTAGAGGGGCTGTGGGGAAAAGGAACCCTTCTCCATTGTTGGTAGAAATCCAGACTGGTACAACCACTGTGGAAATCATTGTGGACATTCCTCAAAAAGCTATGACTTGGAGATTTAACTCAGCTATTCTCCTTCTGGGTATCTCCCCCAAAGAATGAAAAACATCATACCACAGCAATATATATGCACCCATGTTTATAGTAGCACGATTTGCAATAGCCAGCTCTTGAAAACCTAAATGCTCACTGACTGAAGAATGGAAAAAATATGTAGTATTTTTATACAAGGCAGTACTACTCTGCCATAAAGAAAGATAAACTGGAGACTTTTATAGGTAAATGGATGCAACTTGGGACCATGCTCATTAGTGAAATAAGTAAGACACAAATGTAGAAACACTGTATTGTCTCATTAGAGAAGCTAAAGGAAACAACATATGTATATGTATGTGTATAAAAAACAGACAGTTAAGATAGTTATATTACTGATTTCTCTGAGTTCGCTGAAGAGAAAGATTTGTGCCAGTATTGTTTAGACAACTGAATGCAGATGTCTTATGCTCTGGGTGAATGACTGGGGGATGACAATGCACAATATATGTATCATTATTGCCTGACACAAATGTGGGAATAGCATGGATACTTGACATTTTGAAATTTTTAGGTTTTTTTTCTTCTTTTTTTCCTTCTTGAAATAAAATGGATGTGGGGGGGGGGAAGAAATGTTGCAAAATGGCATAACAACCAAAAAGAATGATCCAATATTAGAACTGGGTCTAAAAACATAGCGAGGCTCTTCGTAGGGGTGAAATATATTGAACAAAATGCCAGCAGTGCTACTGTGTGTTCAAAGCTGTAACAGATCAAATGCTACAGGATGCTGTGAAATACACAGAGGATGAAATGCAAGTAAAAGGTTCCAGGTGTACCAAAAGCCATATTAAAAAATGTATTTATTATGATACCTCACTAATTGAACTGAAAGCATTCATAGGTCTGATGTACTTAGCAGGGATTTCTCATTATTGTCACAGGAATGAAACAGAGTTATGGAAAAGAGATGGTTCAAAATATGGCATAAAGACTTATAACCTTGTATATATGAAGTTTTACTATGCTTTCAATTTAGCCATTTATGCTAGAACTCAACCGTCAGGTCCTTATTTGTAGAGTATATGAATTATGTTATGAACATCTCCCATCTCCCAAACTAGTAAGAATGTAACATTTGATAACTGATTTTTCAGTTTCCAACCACTGTTACACAGAACACAAGTTGGCCAGCAGGAACTGTACACAGGAACAAAGCAGAAATCCTAAATGAAATGTATTAGTGATGTTTTCTGTTCCTGTTAACTATACACTGTATAAGAGAATAAGAACCTCCTGACGAAACAGCAAGCCCTATGAACTGTCAAATATTTCCTATGAAAAGGTCAGGAAAACAAAATGCACGTGCCATCAATATGATATGTGTGTATGGTAATATATACAGACTTAAGTGTAATAACTGATTAAAGATTATTTTTTTTGTAAGTGCTATTGGTTTTTTCATTTTAGTTCATACAAGAATTTATCTGTGTTGTTCTATTTTAGACCTTGTACACCAAAAAATAGTTGACAATGAACATTTTGATGTTTTATAAACAATAAATACTAAAAATTCAATATTTCAGTGATTTTTTTCCTGGTAAGTATTCACTATTTAATATAACAAAACTCATGAAGATCAAATGAATAATTCATCAATAGATGTATTTTAAAGAATAAATGTAGCTCCTATACACCCACATTTTTGTACCTTTATGGCAAAATTAGTGTTACATTCCTAATGGTACAGCTTCCTCTCTATTCATCTCTGCTCTTACCTGTGTTTACAACTTCCTCTCTACCCATCTCAACTCTTACCTGTGTTTACAGCTTTGATATATTTCCACTGACTTGGATTTCTAGATACTTTCACTTGGCCATCCACATTCCAGGGTTCTGCTCCTTGCTCCAACACAGAGACAATACTCAGTTCAAAAGGAGAGATTCCTGCTTGCAAAAAGAAAGGCAGGTGATGTGCTGTGGCTTTTCCACACTCCAGTCCTGTTTACTTGAAGAAGAGATTACAGAGTGATGTACACAAGTATTTCTCTGTTATATCTCAGATATCAGATATATCTAACTCTCTCCCAAGAACCAATTATTCAAAGGCACTAGGCTCAAAAACGGAACTGCATACTTCAACAGTCTCCAATAAGTTTTCATTCACATTTCATCTCTAGAACCACCACTGGCATATCAACCACAAACAGGGCATAATACCTGAAGAAAGAGCACTATTAAAATCCAGATGACACACTACGAAACTACAAATTTCAGAGACAACAGGACATTTGTCTCAGGCAAACAATACAGAAGATTCCATGAAGACACAAGGGAAAATGCAAAGAGACACAGAGTAGACCTGACTTCTGAAAGGAAGTCATCCTCACCCAGGGAGATCAGGTTCCTATAGTTCTCCAACATCACCTCCCTGTACAGAGTCCTCTGAGCAGGGTCCAGGCATTCCCACTCCTCTCGAGAGAATTCTATGGCCACATCCCTGAATGTCAACAGATCCTGAAATGAAAAACATGTATCACCATGGGGACATGGGGAGTGCTGTAATATACATATAAAATGAAAAGGAGAGAAATGTAAGCGCTGATTCAATTGAAGTGAACAAGCAAAATTCATACTGTTATGTCAGGACTTTCCCGATACAGGTCACTTTCAATCTCTGGAGTCACAAAGGCTAATAAGCTAACTTGTGACCAGAGATTCCCATGTAGCCTAAGGAGAGGGGCTTCTAGATGGTCATGACATTCACTGCAGCCCTTGACCTCCAGGAAGGGATGGGGGGGTGGATGTTAGAACTGATCAGCAATATCAATGATATAATTAATCGCACTTATCGAGTGAAGATTCCATAAACTCAAGAGAACAGGTTTCAAAGCAAGTGTCAGATGGATAAGTGTCTAGAGGTTTCTGAAAGGTGAAGCATCCACAGAAGACAGGGGCACACCATGTTAATTATCCCATAGCTCATGCTATGCATCTTTTCCATCTAGGTGTCCATCTTTTTAACAAGCTTTACAAGAAATGCTAAGGGTGAGTGTTTTTGCTGGCTTTTGTGAACTGCTTGCTTGGGGTTGCATAAAAATCCTCACACATCCTGAGTCACAGCTGCTTGTGTGGTGAATATATAGGAGGAAGTAGGTTTTGTTTTTTTTTATATAGTCACACACAGTAAGGTATTTGTGAGCATGTTGTAGCTCTACAATTGTGTTTCATTACATCTTTAAATAAGAGGTTGTAATACTCTACATCAAGGATAGATTTCTCATTCTCTGTACAAAGAAAGAAATGCACAAATGAAAAACCAGCACAGGCTTTTCTCTATGAAAAGTGACAGTATTTACATGAGCTAGATAAGGCATGTTAAGAAATGACACAGTGCATATCAGCTTTAAAGAAAGATCAGAAACATGATAATGAAAGCAACATAATGGCTAAAGCTTCAGGACACTTCTAGGTACTGCATACTTTCTAACTGGCTTACTTGTATAATTCACAGAAAATGTACTAGTCCTCAGGAGAAATGTTTCCCTCTTAATATTGAGAAAACTGTGTCACAGACATTTTGGGATTCCCCTTATGTCAGAGCTAAAAATGGCAGAGCACACACCTGAAGCTAGGTGGCTGGGAATAAGAATTAAAGCTAAAGAATCAAACAATTCAGCGATCGATGTAGTATCAAAAATAGACTGACCTTAGGTTTCCTATATGAGAAAACTAGAAACAAGCTCAAGATAACATCATGAATGTGCATGAAAGTTCATTATTTATATGCACACATATTTTATTTTTCTCACTGCTACCAATACATTAACAGGATAGAGTAGTAAAAATTTAAGGCAAAGGAAATTATCTAAGATACAGTTTCTACTGTTAGAAAACTTAAGTTTGGGATGGCGATGTAGCTCAGGGTAGAGTTCTTGCTAGTATGCCTAAGACCCTAGGCTTGGGCTCTAGCATTCCAAACAAACAAACAAACAAACAAAAAAGAAAAGCAAAACAAAAAAAAATCACATTCCAAGGAAATATATATATTTAGAATATGACCTTGATAAAAAATATGGAATTGCACATACACATACTCGTGCATACACATCACACTTAAATCAAATTTAAAAGAATCTCTCTGAATGATTTTTTAAGTGTTTTTTTAATCACCATTCATGTTAATGTATATTTCAACATGCATGGACAATGAAAATGTAAAAAACACACTGGAGACTATAAAACACTAGTGTTTACTAGGATTCTTAAAATGGACAACACAAAAATTTATGTAATGCAACTTTAACTCCAGTCTACCAAACATGTATACTAAAACTGTATTTATAACTTCACCCATTTAAATTAAGATATCTAGGCATTACCAGAGTTCCAATGGAATTTATTAGTTTAATAAAACTGTATGATTGGGAATTTTTTGAAAATGTGTAGTGCTGGGATCAGACAGAGGGCTTCACATATGAAGAGTGAACACTATCTTGGAGCAACATCTCCATCTGAGAAACTTTTTAATAACATTAATTTAACAGATCAGCAGAAAAAGATTACATATTATAGAAACACATAATGAAAAGAATTATTAAAAAATTAAAAAGCAGCCAAAAAATGTAACTTGAAAATGTAAAACTACCAAGCCTGATATTTACCATACATATTTCATCAAACTATGGCTGACAGTAAACACGGGGTGCATTTCCTCCTAGTGAAGGATAAAAGGGTGCTGGTGGGATACCAGCCTGTCACTACTATATAGGACGCCTGAGCAAGGATCAGTAAGGAACAAAAATGTAGAAAACAAGAGGGCAAAGAAGATAGAAAAAAGTTGAATTTGTTAACAACTAATAGATTACATGACTACATCCTGAAAAAAGAATGCTATTTAAATATAGGACGTAAAACCTCAAAATTACCTTCCTCCCTTAGTGGCTCTCATTAAGCATACATGCACATTTACATATGAAACATCTTACATCTCCATTAGCAATTATACCAGGTCACTTAAGCAAAAGACACTGCCTGATCCATGAAAAGAAATTACATAACTGTTCCGAAGGACTGATGCATAGTTGTAGTTGAGCAAGAAGCTCCAGGTGTTCCCTATCTCACAGAAACAAGGATTTAATAACAATACAGCAAAAACCACCTTTACAAGACAGAAAACAAATGTGAACACTGCTTTACCTGAATAACAGCCATTTCTGACTCTTTTTCTTTCTTTTTTCTTCTCTTCCAGACTTCCGCCTTATGTAACAGGAATATTTAAAGGTTAATCCTGAATATCAAAAACATAACAGTTAAATGCTCAGAAGGAACACATCCCCTTCTGGTCACACAGCTATATACACAAAACAGAAAAACTCACAGTGTGGAAAGGTGGGTCCGCTGCTGCCCACTGCAGTGAGATGGTGATCCAGAGATATGAAACTCCTTCAGGAAGTCCAAGCAGAGACTTTCTCCACACTTCTTTGGAGTACACTGTCCTCCTGGTGAATCCCCTGCACTAAGCAGCAGTGGGGAGCCTGGCAACAGTGAGTTCTCCTTCAGAACATAGTCCTGGCCCTGACCAAACCCATGCATACCATTTCCCACTCTTTCCTCCATGGAGCACACACTGATCATAGCTCTCAGAAATGCAAGACCCAGTCTGGTATCTAGTACTGCACATTGAATAAAATCTACTTTAATATTATGAACGCTTAGTTCCAGGATGATCATGGGAACTGGACTCTCCCATTAGGAGCCAAAGTAGAATTATTTGTAAAACATCTCAGCACTCCAATGGGAACCCAAGGTTAAGCACCACCCAGGGAGGCAAACCCAGTCCACCTCCCACCTTTTGGTTCCACTTTCTTTGAGGCCCTGTTGTCCCAGGATCCATACAGTGGACTGCCAGGATCCATACAGTGGACTGGGAAGGATCAGAAAGCAACTGTAGAGCAGGGAGCATGGACCACAGATGGGGGTGAGGGTGTAGTTATGCTGTTAGTGGAAGGTGGAGGCCATGGACTTTTCCATGGAGATGCAGATAGCAGAACAAAGACCAGGGAAGGTAGGTGTCTGATACCTGTAGCTGAAGGCCCTGTGAGTTATAAGCAAAGACAGAACCCAGGGAAGGTTCTGAGCCAGGAGTTACAGTGGCCCCAGGAAAAGGCAGGAGGCTTGTGTGGCTGAAGCAGAGTGAAAAGGAAGGAGGATACTGCAGGCAACGAAGGGAGGGAAGGGCTTCTAGAAGCACAGCAGGTGTAGATTAGATCTAATATTTCTCTCCCACTTGTCCAATGTATTCTTGAAATGATGGTACTTCACCACTCACCTGATATAAAGATGTGATTTTTGTACTTTTTTTTTTTTTGAGACATAGTCTCGCTGTGCAGGCTAGTACTGAACTCACTAGGTAGCCCAGGGAGGCCTTGAACTCATAGCAATCCTCCTGCCTCAGTATCCTAAAGGCTGGGACCACGGGTGTGTGCCACTAATCCTGGCCTCTTTATACTTTAAATGAAAACAATCTAAATACAATACACCCTATATTTAAAATATATGCACAAGTGTTTGGCTAAGCAGTGTCACCCCTACCTGAGATACTGAGGACTACAGAGGGAGTCATTTGCAGAGCCCAGGAAATCACATGGGGACTATGAAGGTAAAGGTTCCTGTTGATGTCTCAGCAGAATCGAGGTGATACAGGGATCCAGGGTTCTAGGACTCCTGGGACAGGTCTGAAGGACAGATGGAGACATAGGTATGAGATCAAAGCCATGCAGGAGGTGATAAAGGCGATGGGTATAGTCAAAAAGGGGTTCCAGGCTAAAGCATGGGGAATCACCACATTCAGAGAACAAGGCTGAGGAGACACTAGCAGATGAAACTTTGAATTGATGAGAGAAGAGATAAAAAAAATTGAAGTAGCGGATTTTTTTTTCCACATACGTGGAGAAACTAAGTATGGCGTGTCATGGTTTATGTCTGTGTCCCCCAAGCCTCATGAGTTTGCATTGTGTATTTGTGATTGGTTCATTGCCTAGTGCTTGGATTGATGGTGTCAGTGCTCTACCCACATAGGAGTGGAGCCAGGATGTGATGTAATGGCAGGAAGAAGGTATGGTTTGAGCTTGCTGTCAGTGGCTGCCATGAACTGCGGTCCAGCCATGCCCGCCTGTCTTGGAGCCAACTGAGTGTGGACTAAAACCTCCAAAAACTGTAATAAACCTTTTCTTTCCCAACTTTGGGCTTCAGGTATTTTGTCTCAGCGATGAGAAAAAAGTAACTAAGACATGGGGAAAAAATGGCCATCTGCTTCCCACTCCAACAAGAGAAACTTGGAGACAATCAACTCAAGCTTAGTAACAAATGAGTTTTCTCATTCACAGTTCAAATGTTATCCTTCTACAAATATGCTCATGCCGGATTTGTATCCTATTCTCTGAGTGCTTGTTACTTAATCAAAGCAACTGCTTCCTCTGAGTTTATGACCTCTAGCTGTGCACTGAATGACCATCAACGCAAGACCAAAAAGCTTGTCTTTTCCTTCAATTTGGACCATGTCTGAAAAGCCATTCCAGTTCCAGCATTTCTGGTAACGCTAAACTGAGTTTAGATTTTGGATTTTTGTTTGGAGGGTCAGAGGAATCATAAAAGAATTTAATGCCATAAGATACGATGAAATTTGAAACTTACCCAATTCAGAAAGAGAGGGAGGAGAAAGAGAGAAAAAACAGTGACAGTAAGAGTATTGAGACTGACAGATGTGTGTTAAGAGGCAGCTCTTTTGTCTTGGAGCCTATAACCCTGCCTCATGTTTGGAGGGCTGAACATCATTCCAGATTCGAATTGGGCATCTTCCTTCAAAAAAACTGCCATTGAAAACCGGTCCGATTTTGAAAATCATTTCAGGGATCTCATTTAATTAGATTCCTATCCTCATGTAATCCATGTTTCAGGTGGGTACACCGAGGCTTCAACAGGGGAGTGACTTCATTAAGTTACCCTGAAGAGGTCTGAGTTGAGTGAAAGCCTCGTAAAAGTGAATTCTGAAAAAGTAGCTTGGACAAGGCAGTGAGAAGAGTTTGGCTTTATTCAAGAGTTCATTCATATCCCTTAATCAGAGAAGGTTTTATCAATCTCAGATATTTAATTCCTCTTTCCCAGAAAAATATTTAAAACTTGAAATTAGAAGTAGCCATCACTCCTGGGAAATAGGCAAGAATTTCAACTGCAGAGCAGTCTCTTCATCATCAACACAACAGACAACCTCTGCTAGAGGAAAACTCCACAGTAATTCAATACATACTTTAACACCTGCACAAAAAGGGCGCAGAAGACCTGAGAGGTACACTGTAATTACTTAGTTGGAAGCTTGAGTTTACTAATTAATTAAAAGATGCCAGAAGAGAAGACTCTGAGTATAAAGTAACTGGTTAAATACCATTAAGTTTTAGACTGTCACTATCCATTCCAAATGTAAAGTGAAACACTGTCAAATCAGCTAACAGGAAATAGTTTCAATTCATGATAAAGAGTACAAATCATAATATAATGATCTAATAATAATCTATGATCTAATAATCATAATCTAAATGATCAACTTTAGAGGAGAAATAATTGGGAAAATATCAAACTTAGGAGTTATAAAAGAATGGCGGAAACAAAATAGAGGAGTCTGACCTCTTTCTCCTTCTCCACACTTCCTCTTGGAAGAGCACAGAAGAGAGCGATCTGGAACTGACTAGGCTGTCCAACAGCGGGATGCCCAGGAGGCCCGAATGGTATCATCATCTGATTCAGTATAGTAACTAGAAGATGAAGTACCTCGCACAGGTTTTTTAATTCTCATACATTTCTGTGTGTGTGTATATATATATATATACACACAGTAATTGTGCCAGTTATTTTATACTCAGTCTTCTCTTCTGGCACCTTTTAATTAGTAAGCTCAAGACTTCAACTAAGTAATTACAGTGTACCTTTCAGGTCTTCTGTGCTCTTTCTGTGCAGATGTGAAAGTATGGACTGAATTACTGTGGAGTTTTCCTCCAGCAGAGTTTGTCAGTTCTTGATGATGAGAATACTCTACAGTTGAAATTCTTGCCCATTTCCCAGGAGTGATGGCTACTTCTAATTTCATGTTTTAAATATGATATATATATATATATATATATATATATGCACACACACACATATATATATATATATATATATATATATATATATATATATGCACACACACATATATATACAAAATTTAATTTAAATGGGGTCAGGAAATAACTCGTGGCATGACTGCCTTCTGCCTGGCAAGCGTGAGGTCATGAGTTCAATCCCCGTGCCAAAAGAGAAAAAAGAAAAAAAAAAAAAGAAAATACACTAAAGAACGTACAAATCATTACTTCACAAGTTAATGTTCCTCATCCAATCAACTCAACGCTCATCGGGATGTGGGTTTCATCTCTTCTCTACGTGTCTCTCTCTGGAAATGTTTCTCCTCTTGTTCCTTTTTTCTATTCCCCCCACTCTGTATTTCTACTTATTCTGCCCCTCTCCTCTGGATCCCTGCTCTAATAGTGCCGCTAGACCCGCAAATGAAACTGACAGCCCGCCAGCTCCACAAGGCGCTCTCTGCCCTCCTCCTCTCTTCTGCTTAGGCTCTTTCAGAGGGCCGCGATCGCAGTGCAGCCACCTCCCGAGGGATGACGCCGCAGCGGCTTGGCCAGGTCAGGGAAGGGACGAACAGGACAGGGGCGCAGCGAGGGCAGTGGGCAGACAGTGGGGCGAGGGCGCACGTACCGCCGCGGCTCGCCACGCGCCAGACTCCGGGAAGCTCAGGGCGATGCGGGACCGGGATGTCCTCACAGCGAGAGGGAGAACAGGCTCAGAAGCTTTCACCTACGAGTGAACACTGCGACCCACTCGCTGGAAAGAAGAGGTGGGGGCGCAACGCGCAGGTTTCAACCAGATAAACGCAGACTCACCTCAGTCCCAGTGATCCCTCAGATCAGCTTCCGGGTCAGCAGGCCACTGCACAGGCGCAGAGTGCACTTGGTGGACGGGCCCAGGACGTGAGGGGAGGGGCCTGTGGCAGGGACCGGAATCTTGAACTGGAGCGAACGCTGAGAGAGGCGTGGCCGGAGTCAGGGGCGTGGCCGGCGTAAGGGCGGGACCGGCTGTGGAAGTGTTTCTTCTTTTCTGTTACGTTTGTTCACTCTAAACCACCTTTCTTGAGCTGTATGAAAATGGGAGTATCTTTGAGACAGAGTAGATGGAATCTTGTATTTTGCTGGACGTTAATAGCTAATCATAAATTTAGTTTCCCTGTTTAAAGTCTTCTCAGTTGTTCAGAAGTGTGTTTTTACTTTGAAAATTATGTTAGTTGCATCTTTTAAGCTACCTTTGTTTTCTGTTTCCAAGTGTTTTGTGTCAAGTTCAGATAATGAGGCTTATGGCAGTTGGTTTTCCTTTTAATTAAAAACACTTGAAATATTTGCAGATATTCAATAAAGATAACTATTCCTTTGAGCAATAGAAGTGAATAGTAAAACTAGCTCTTAAAAATTTTCAAGAGTATCTCATAGTCTTAATTTAATTTTAATGTACACTCTTATATTTAATTTAAAATGTGGGTTAGTAACTCCTTTTCTGTTTCTAGGAAATAATGAAGTGAATGCTGTTGGAATCTCACTGTACATGATCAGTACAACACATACCCAGAGATTTCCAAAGGATTATTTCCAGTAAAGGATAGTTCTCAGAATTTGAAGAATTTTTTTTCTCCTAAAATTTCTCTGAGGTTTTAGTCTTTAAAACAAATTCATGATCTCAAATAGATTTACACTTTAGAGGATAAATTTCTCTTGGAAAAAGAACAGAAATAGTGCTTATTCTGTTCATAAAAGAGCCCTTCAAGAATTGCTTAGGAAAGAGGCAAAAACAATGAGAAAAGTATACTCGAAGTGAGGGGGAGGACTCGGAAGGAGACAAATGGCAATGTGTCTTTTAATGTAATAAATTAAAAAATTTCAGCACGTTTGTTTTTGATCAGCCCTTGTAAACAGTGTCAAATGATTAAGCTGATGCAATACCCATTTTCACAATTGCATTTAGCGATGAAAACATTTAAATTAGCAATTTTGAAATGTATATCACATTATACGAACATAGTCACCAAGTTGTATAATAGATCTCAAAAATCATATGTGCCCTATTCAGCTGAAGCTTTGTACCATTTCACCAACATCTTCCTATTCCTCACAACCCCAGTATCTGGTAACCATTGTTCTACTTTCTACTTTAAAGTGTCCTGCTAGTTTTGATCCACTTGTAGGTAGGAACATGCAGTATTTGCGTTTCTGTACAGGGCTTATTTCAACTAACATAATATCCTCCAGATTCATCCACGTTGTTTCAAATGACAAAATTTCCTTCTTTTAAAGGCCAAATATATATGGAGCTATGTATTTGTATCTCATTTTACACAAATGCATATAATATATACACCAATTTATCTACTTACAGATAGATATCCATCTTTCTATATACATCTATTGACATTTAGGTTAGTTTAGTAATTTACCATGCTTCCATCACTGAAATGAAATCTCCAAAATAATCAAGTTCCAAAGAGGCAAGGTTTATTTTTACTCACAGATTTGGAGATTACATTCTACAGTCAGTTGGTCCTTTGATCTGTGGATTTGGAACCCATGGTAACACAGCACATCATGGGGGAACACATAGCAGAGGAAGTTATTAATTCATGGTGGTCAGAAAGTAAAGTAATAGGAAGCAACTAGGGATCCCTACATCTCCTTTAAGGGCACACCTCTGATAATATCTTCCATCTAGGCCACATGTCCTAAACTTTTCATATATCCCATGAATACCATGGATTGAGGACAAAACTACTGACATAAAGGTTTCTGGGGATTTGGGTTAGGGTTAGAGTGGCATGGAGTGTGTGCCACAGTAAATCAGTGTTAAAAGGAAAAAACTGAAGTCCTGCAGTCTCCTTTGAGGCATGTCTTCAGTGAGCTTATGACCTTAAGGGTCCACCTTTTAGAATATTCACTACTTTCCAAAAGTGGTGAATTGCAGATCAAGCCTTTGTCTCAAAGGCCTTTGATGATATCCCAGGTTCCACTTATATGTTCTGCCAGTTCCATAGAGATGCTCTAAATGACCAGAGGGGATGACACACAGACAGATTTGCATCACAGCTAAAAATGTACAGCTTAAAAATTCCCATTTTCCAAAGTGGGCAACAATCAAATCTGCCCAAGCTTTGCCCCAGATGAGGTATTACATTTATTATGTTGCTTAGGTAATCTTTCCCTTGATTTGGAGATAGTGCTACTGTGAGATTCGTTTTTATTAAAAACAAAACAAAGAAAATGTGCTAGCTTTTCATCATTATAATTAAATACCCTTACAAAGAAAAAGAGGTTTATTATTGTTGGGAGCCGCAGCCCCGAGCCCGGTCGCCTCACTTGGCGGACGTGTGGCCTGTAGTAAAGAGTGAAGCCTGAGGTAGATTGCCCCTCCCATGGAGCACGTTAGTTTCCTGCTTACCGCGTAAGCAACCCGCTCAACAATATAGTCTGCCTGGCAACTGATGATGTTAGCCAATCAGCTTGCCTTGCTTACTTTAACATGATTGGACACTGTACCCGTATATATACCGGTGCCACCCCTGGGCGGAAGAAGAAGCCAGGTAGAAGCCCGGAAGTAGAAGCCCAAAAGGAGCCGCGGAGAGCGGACCGGTAGAGGCTTTGGGGCAGACTGAAGCACAAAAGGAGCCGCGGGGAGCGGACCAGAGGAGGCTTCAGCTGGGAGAACCCAGGGCAGGCTGTACGGAGAAGGAAAATAAAAAGAAAAGGTTGTCCACTACCAGACTTTGTCGTGTGTCCTTCCTGCCGGCCGGGAGCGGACATCGACATTTGGAGGCCCGCCCGGGGACTGATCACCCCCGAGACGTGGAAGTGGACAACGCTCCAGTACAGAGCTGCGAGACAGGTGAGTTGGGGATAAGCCTGGGCTCTGGGTGGCGCGCACCTACAGGGCTTTTAGACTCCCCTCAGGCTCACGCGTAAGTGGCGGATTCCTTGGGCCTCACGCGGTGAGTAACATATTAAAAGATGGGAAACATGTTAGGTAGCAACACTAAGAGCGAGGGTGGTTGTGGAGAAAGCTCTCAAGAGCTTACAAAAGTACGCAGGGTATCTGAGCAGGCCCAGTCAGGGAGCTCCCGAGAGGGGTCCGTCAAGGGGAACAAGGATGCTAAGGAGGAGGACGGGGCTCTAGCCTCGGAGTCATCTGACTCCGAGGACGAGGGAAAGTTGAATGGCAAGGAGGCCAAAGAGACCAGCTGTCAGGAGCCTAAATCGCTCAATAAGGAGTCGCAGGGTTCTTTTCCAGCGTTGCCCCGCGAATTGCGCTCTGCTCAACCTGGTCTGCGGAGGAGTAGAGAGCTCCTGAGCGCTCCCCGGCGCGAGAGGGAGGCGAAGCCTTCCGCCCCACCTTGGGGGCCGTTTCCGGAGGCGATTCCTCGCCACGAGGCGGCCGCCTGGGAGCTCTCTCCCCTTTCGCCAGAACAGGAAGTGATGCACGGGCCCCCATTTTCCGCCCAATCACGGCCGCCGTCTTATGCTCCGCCGCCGGCGGGTCGGTATTTTTACAGGCGGCTTTGGCAGGGGGGACGCTTGTCTCATGAGGTACATCCACCACCTGGGATAGATAGTGGCCCCTACGGGATATTTCCTGTACAAGTAGCTATGGGCCAGGGACGCAATGTATGGGAGCCTTTTGAGATAAAGCAGATTAGAGAACTTAAAAATGCAGTTACAACCTTTGGGCCGACTGCGCCTTACACCATTGCCATGCTGGAGAATCTGTCTTCTGGGCCCCTCACCCCCGCGGACTGGATTCAGCTGGCAAAGGCGTGTCTGCCCTCGGGTAGTTACCTGGATTGGCGAGCCTGGTACACAGAGTTCTCTGCAGAGCAGGCTGAGAAAAACGCCGGTCGAGGAAATGGAGGCTGCGGATTTAGCTTAGCGGCATGGGCGCCTGCCTTGTAAGCAGGCGGTCGCCAGTTCGATCCCTGGTACCAATAAAAAAAAAAAAAAAAAAAAAAAAAAAAACGAAAAAGATAAAAATAAAAAATAAAAAATAAAAAACAAAAAGGGGGAGTAAGCCAAGGCCTGCCTCCAAAGGCGCGGTTATCTATGACAGGACAATGGATGGGCCCGGATCCGGTAATCAGCTGGAACCGAGGCGCGGTTTGTGTTTTCCCACAGGAATCGGGACGAGAACCACTGTGGATACCGGAGAGACTGACACGGGCAACAAAGCCCTCGACTGAAGATCAGACCTGCCCTACCGGAGATCCATCACAGACCAACCAATAAGATGAATAGAAATAGCGGTAGCCCGAAATGGACAAGAAGATCCTCAGGCATATGCATGGCTTGCTCAATTGGCCCACGACCGAGTCTAGATATGGCGGGCATCCCTCATTCTCCTCCATAAGGTGACAATACACAGCAGGGTAGGTGAGTCAATGACGGGTAAGAGCGTGCCTCCCCAGCACGACTCGACCTAAGCCAGGCCCTACCCCATCCTGCACGTAAGCCGCTGGACTGTTAGATGCTGCCCAGGTCTAAATTTCTCTCCGAGGGGATTTCTTTACGGAGAGGAAATGAGTGCAAGCTTGTGTGCATCCAGGTTCCGTCCAGTTTGTGCCTGGCCCTAGAAAAAGGACGAGGGCCTCAGGGCCTTGGCAGACCATGGCATGGCCAACCAGGGTCTAAGCCAAGGACCTACGGTGGGCCTACACATAGGGCATAAGCCTCTGCACCCAGTCCAGGAAGGGCTACGATGCGCACATTCATAAAAAATAAAATAGGGGGAGATGTTGGGAGCCGCAGCCCCGAGCCCGGTCGCCTCACTTGGCGGACGTGC